AGTTAACTAGTTGTAGAGCAAGCTTGGGGAAAAGAGATAAAGCGAGGCTTGTCAGGGAGGGGGGAGTATAAGATAAATGATCTGTTTGACATTTATTACAGTATAGTTAAAAGTGATAAGCATAAAGGAGAGTAATATGACACATTTTATAGGAATGCATTCATTTTCAGTCCCAACACCTACAAGTTTAAAGATGGAGGACTGAAAAAGATATTTAAAGAAATGAAATTTGAGTCCACTATAACCGAGTTTCCAAGTTCTAAGCTGTTCACTATAAGCGTTAAAAATAACATTATTTAAATAGGAATACGGACGGGACCGCTAAAAAAGTTCACTACATCCGAGTGTTCACTATATCCCAGGTTCACTATAGCGGGGTTCGACTGTAGTAAGAATCAGATGATACATTATGAGTAAAAATGTTTGTTGCTTAGAAGTCATTTTTTTTGAAATATGACATTGTGAAATTATAAAAGCTTGTTATATTTCACTTAAACAATTACAAATGGACTTTTCAGAAAAAAATTACTGCAATTTTTGAAATATACCACTGTAGGATCAGATTTCACAAATATTTTTATTTCAAAATAGTTTAAAAAATTTAGCTAGAAAAAAACAGGGGTATATTTGAAGTAATTTTCACACTAAAATGTCTCTTTAAATATAAAGATGCTATTCAACTAAGCTTACTTTTGTCTAGTGGTTGAATGAAATACTAGAGAAATGGTTTAAAGCTTTTATAGACTTAACAGCATAAATTTAAGTACCAAGTAAAAGTGACTAAATTTTAGAAAATAAATACATTAGATGAGGTAACAAACATTATAAAAAATAATAAAGAAATAACAATAAAAAACTTTATTTTATCAAATTTCCCCGATTTTTGTAACTGGTAGCATAAATTTCATTATTAGTTTTTTTTTAGTTATGCTCATTTTTATAAATAAATTACATCACAAAACACTGTGAATTTATTAGAGCTAAATAAAAAATTTAAAAAAATATTACAAGATAAAAAATTTTTTTCTTTGAAAAATATTGGATTTTTAGATATTTTAATGTGATTTTTTCTTGTTCTGTAGCTTCCAGGTAAAATTACCAAGGGAAAAACTGTATTTTCGATACAAAAAAACCAACAACTTAAAAATAAACTTCAAAACAAAAGTTGCTCAAAAACAAAGGTACGTAAAAAAATAAGATTCAATTTGATTGATTGTCGATAATTTTAAATGGCAAAAAGATACTTAAAAACTACAATAATATAGCACACTCACTTTAGTAGCTGCAGTTTTCTTTTTAGGTTTTTCCTGAAAAGTTAAAATAAAAAAATTATACAATTAGCTAAAAAATAAGAAAAATAAATTCTTAATAGCCTTTTGCTACACCAATTGAAGTAATAAACTCATTAAATAAAAAGTTTTCAGGAAAATAAAATAATGAATCTAAGTTCGACATTGCAGGTTAAAAAAACAAAGAAAAAAAAAAACAAAATTCCATTTATTAATATTTACCAACAAAGGTAACTTATGTGTGCAAGATAACACAAGTGAAATGATATGCTTGATACCTAAATGATCAAATAACGATGATCGAATAATTTAAGAAAGCAGTTCCCAAATGGTGTTCTACGGAACTCCAGGGTTCCATGTGACAGTCAAAGGAGTTCCAAAAGTTTACTTAATGCATTTATAAAAAAATTACATTATTATTAATTATAACGTTAAGTTCGTTCGGAAAGAAACATGTGTAGATGTTCTTTTTAGCTTTTATATCAGTGAAATTTATAATTCAGCTTATTTTCTTAAAAAAAAAAAAAAAAAAAAATTATAAATAGGCTAGATTTAGCTCTAAAATTGTGATCCAAAACTCAATTTAAGATTATTAATGAAAAATTTTAATTTAAAAATATTTGATAAGAATAAAGTTCTTTTTCACTGTTTAATAAGTTCTTTATGCCTCTCTTGAAATCAGGGTTCTGCCAAAAGACAGAGATCACTTAGTTCTCTAGCTCCAACACCTCGAATATAAAAATTATAAATTTGGAACTACAGAATTAGGAACTAAACCTACCTTAAGCATATTTAGTCATTAATCAAAGATTAATTATTAATAAAAAAAAAATGAAATGTGCAAAAAATAAAAAATATTTAAGGATAAATTATTTTAAATCAGACGTTGTTTTCGGAACTACAAGGATTTAATAACGCATAATTTCAACTTTACATTTTACAATACATAATTTGATAGGTTATTAAATGTATATAAATACATACAAAGTGAATTTTCTATATCCAGTTATTAACAATCTAAGCAATCAAAATGCACAAAATTATTAACTTTAAAGCACAAATTAAAGCCTGTTACATTAAGGGGTGCACAACCTTTTATGGGAAAGAGCCACAGAAATTAAATTTTGGCTAATAGCGCTGACAATGAATTCAGCTCCTATGTCAACAAGTAATAACTTATTTGGCCTACAAACTACTTAAATCGATTTAAGCAACTCTGAACAGGTTGTGATTAAAAATATTTTCTTAATTAAAAATAAATATTAATTGAAAATTTAAGTTTGGAATCAGATTGATTATCACAGCTATAATTTAAAGCTAATGACAAAAATACACAAATTAAAAAGAAAAGAACTTAAAGATAAGTTAACTCAACAAGTCTAAAGATAAATTGACTATAAATGAAAATGACCATCACAATAATCTGATATTTCAGTTAGTAAAAAATTTAATTTTTTCAATTGTAATTAGGATAAATATTTGGTGTAAATGAACATTAATTTTCTACTATTCTCCTCTTTGTTTCAATATAGTTATTTGTAACCTTGCAAATATATTTGTCAATTTATTTATACACATAAAATTAACTGTCTCAGAGCATTCACTTTTAAATATAATTCAAGTACTTATGCATTCATTCAATAACAGAGTTAATGTTGGTTCCAACATTTTTTAGATTTTGCGGCCTGCTATCCAAAAAAGGTTGTACATCCCAGCAATAATTTATCTGATTAATTACCTCATATGAGTTCCCGATTCTTTGTTTTAACTAAAAATAAAAGTACAAATTAATTAGATCATGCAGTTATTTGAACAACATCTTACTTCCGGAGCATTAGGAGATAGTATGGAACTTAGTTCTTAATGTTCATATCTAATCATGCAGAATACGATCAATGCATACAAAAACGACACTTTAAATAGAAAGAAATTAAATTTGGGAGAAGGTAATCAATTATTCTTATAATAACAAAAAAAAAAAAAAAAANAATAAAAAAAAAAAAAAAAAAAAAAAAAAAAAAAAAAAAAAAAAAATTTATCGCAACTCAACACCGAAAATTTGTAAATAAAAAGTTTTGTGTTAAATAAAATGTGTTAAGAGATTTAAATATATTTTTAAGAAACTAGATAACACTATAAGAAAGGTTTAAGCATGGTTAACTTTCTTAATTTTTTTTAAAAAGTTAATAAAGGTCACTCGGAAAATTAAATACACCTTACAGCTACTTCTCCATACAGCCGCCACTGATACAATTGTTGCAGCATAGTTCTTTTCAACATTCTTATCATATAAAAGACAACTGCCTACACTTTTAGGGAATTTTTTTTCAGTCTGCAGCTTTAGTTACTTCCTTTCACAAAAGACTGAATGCACTGTTTCAAAGCTTTGACACCATTGCTGTCACTCATAAAAAGTTTACAGTACCTGTTACTAATGCTCACGTGTAGCAATATTTTTACTTCACTACTTTTTAAATTTAGTTCTTTTACTTGCTTTTTTTTTGAGAAAAAAGTACAAGTATCTGTAACTTTAAAAAAAAAAAAAAAAAAAAAAAAAANAAAAAAAAAAAAAAAAAAAAAAAAGCAACTTATTTCTAAAATTTTCTTTAAAAATCAATATTTTCCCAGTACCAGTGGATATTTTTTTTTTAATTTAGCAGTTGTGGTATGCAGTTCCAATAGCAGGAATATTTACCAGAATTATTCCTGCAAAAGAATGTGCATTCAAACACTGTAAACCAAGCATAATGTATGCATTGTATTTTCAGAAAGATAGTCATCCAATCTTTAAATATTTAAAGACAAAAATTATTCTTGCATCGATGTGCTGTCCACTTTGTCTAAAATCAGTACATTTCTTATTTTTTACTTGCTAGTTTTTAAATTCAAATTTTTTAATCTCGTTACTTTTTAAAAGTGATATTCTCATGCATTGATGAATTTCGCTTGCATTACACTTGGAAGTTACTGTAGTAACTATTTCTACTGCATGCTTTGAATTGAGATGATTGACAGGTATATTAAAAGCATTGAGCTACACACCTATCTAAAAAAAGCTTCAATCAAATGTTTGCCTTTAACAACCAATTGTTAATGGAAGAAAAAGAGTAGTAGAAGTCACAATTATAGTTTAAAAGCTATTTTTTTTCTTTACATATTTAATAAAATTAAATTAAATGTACAGGCTACTGATAGTTATGCAGACATGTGAATGGTCTGAAATTTCTTTCTTTTTCTGCTTTTTTTTAAAAATTTTCAGGGCTTAATTTTATTTTTTGTACACAGAAAATAAATAAAAGATTGATGACAATACCATGTGTATATACGATGAAATCACATTAAATGCACGTTTCGAGATTTTAAAAAATTGAGTGAAAAAAAAAAGATAGAATTTTTGTGTCAAATCGTTAAAACTCAGGTCTGTGGTTTGAATTTCCCGTATCATAATATCGTGGGATTTCAAAAAATCATGTGGATGTCCACAGCAATAAGTGGAAGAAAAAAAAAAGCCAATTGTAACGGCACCTGGATTTCGGGCAAATCGAGCGTGTTAAAAAGTAATTATTCAAATGTACTATTCGAACTTCCTGTTCCTTACTAATATTCAGATGAAAATATCGAAGCAAAAGAAACCACGTGTATTAAATTAAAAACAGGAAAAGTGGACCAAAAAAATTACGGTCGTATCAAAAATTGATTAATTAAAGGAAAATTGAATTTTGCGTGCCGTAATAACTACGTATAAAAAAATATGATTTTTTTTTAATAAAAGAAACAGCCGATAAAACGATCACAGCTCCGCATCGGTTAAAAAATAATTTCAGAAATGCGCTATTCAACACATCATGTCATAATAACATCAAAATTTTACAAACTACGAGAAAATTAAATTAAATGCAAAAGACAGAAGAAGAAGAAAAAAAAAAGAAGATCGGAACACTTATTTACCATGGTAGTGAGAGCGTTGAAAAGTGATTACTGAAAAGCAGGATTTAAAATTTTGATGTTGTAATATCACAGACTGATTCTTGCAAAATAAAAAAGATGGCAAATATATGTATCTTTGATTAAATACCTCTTTTGTTATGAATTGGAATTAGCAACAAAATAGTTACTCATTAAAATACAAGTTTTTAAAAAAAAAATGCAAGATTTTTTGTATCAACTGATTTTTTAATTGGTTGCTGTTTCAGAATTACTTTTTAGATTTCAATTTCTTACTTTTGTGTTTGCTTCAATAGCTCTTAAAATTTTAACCAAAGTTATGAAACTTTTTTATTCTGTTTCATGTTCTTAAAGTTAATCCAAGGGTTCGCTTTCCTCTAAGAAATGTACGTGAAAAAGTAGTTGAAACTCAATGAGGCTTAAAAAGAAAAGAAAGAAGTTGCTAGAATGTATCAAATAAATGTTTCGTCAATTTAATTTTGCGCAGACAACAAAATTTAAATTTCAGGAGAGCAGATTTCCGAGAAAATTTGTCGAAACTATTGATTTGCTGAAATACACGAATAAACGGTCTTGAGATATGCAGAATTTCACGAATTAGCAAAAGAATCACATGTCTGTTATATTAAATTAAGTTTAACAAAGATGTTTGTTTACAGAAAATAACAGAATATAATAAACTGAGTTACAACAATAGGAATTGTTTAAACAAAAATTAAGATTTTTAAAACAGATAAAATCCTAGCGAGGTCACATATTAACAACAGTATTAGCATTATAATCTACATTTCTTACCAGCTTTTGATTTTCCGTATTCATTTCCTGGACTCTATGTTGTGACTCTTCTAGTGCTGGGGGGAAAAAGAAATTCTTAGCAATACTGAAAGAAATTAAAAACGAAGAAAAAAATATATACAGTACGACCTCGAAAATCCGGACTTCTGAAATCCGGAAATCTCTAAAATCCGGACTCATACTTCCAGTTCGTCAGAAAAAAATTTCAAAAGAAAAAGTTTAAAAAAATCGCTTAAAATAAAAATTTTAATGCAAGAGTGCAAAACCACAACTCTTCTCCAACAATGAAGCAGTTGATGAAGAGGTAGGGGTGGGGAGTGAATGAAAGCTCATAGCTGATAAGGAAATTCCAGTCATTCTTATCAGCTCTGTATAGATAACACAGAATATAAAGGGGAATCCCCTCCTCCTGAAGTGGAATCCCACAACTCTTCTCCAACAATGAAGAAGTAGATGAAGAGGTAGGGGTGGGGAGTGAATGAAAGCTCATAGCTGATAAGGAAATTCCAGTCATTCTGATAAGGAAATGCCAGTCATTCTTATCAGCTCTGTATAGATAGGGTGACCAGACGTCCCCGATTTCCGGGGATTGTCCCCGGCTAAGACCTCCTGTCCCCGGTTAAAAAATTGAAAAATTTGTGCAAAATATTTGATAAAAATATGTTATATGTAATTTTTATTTTCTCAAAACTTTTCATACAAATTAATGTAAGCATTGAAAATTAAATGTAAACTAGTTTTAGAGAACACACTATAACTTATACTATAGAAATTTTGGAACACATAACTTTAATATCTAGTTATGCTTACATTTTTACTAGGCTGTACGCCAGACATGTTTATATAAGAAAAGAAGTTTAAAACAAGACGTAACATGAATATTAGTTGCTGCTTTTAAAACAATTAATATCTTGGGTTACATAAACTGCCAATATTAGCTAATTTCCACTAAAAACAACAAGAATTACTACATTTCCGTTTTATTTTAGAAAAATAACTAAAACATTTTATCAATATATCTAACCATTAAAGTATAAAACCATTTTTTATGAAATTATTATTATTATCACTTACGACTAATTAATTTTTGTAAAGTCTAATTATTCTACATTTTGAAAACCTCATAATTTGTTATCGTAATAGATATTTAGAAAAATATTTTGATTTCCTTAAAATAGATGTCAATATGGCAACAGAAACAAAAAAAAAAAAGAAAATGCCATTATTTGGATGATTGGAAAAACGATTTTCCATTTATTGAACAGAATCCTGATAATTCTTCCAAAGTAAAATGTACAATGTGTAGAGCAACGTTTTCAGTTGGAAGTGGAGGACGAACAGCTATAGCAGATCACATTCTTACAATTAAACACAAAGAAGCTTTGGCAGCAAAAACAAAAACGAAATCCGTCAAACAGTTTTTTCGTAAGCTGGAACCATCCAAAGAAGAGTTTGACTTAGCAACATATGAAGGAACGCTTGCATTTCACACCATTCGTCACAACCAATCGTTTCGCAGCATGGACTGTACTTCAAATTTACAGAAGAAATTTGTAGACAAGAAATTTTCTTGTGCCCGAACAAAATGCAAAGCTATTGCTGCCAATGTTTTTTCTCCGTGGGCATTTCTTGAATTGAAGAAAGATTTACAGTCTGTTCAATTTGTAACAATATCTTGAGATACTTCCAATCACAATCATGTAAAATTACTTCCTATTTTAGGGCGGTATTTTCAGTGGGACTGTGCTAAAGATCCAATTAATAATAAACTTGTATCACTAAACGAAATTAAAGGAGAAACTGTAAAGATTTTATCTTCAGAAATATTAAACGCACTATTCGAGTTCCAATTGAAGGATAAAATGGATGGTTTGTCTGTGGATAATACTAACACTAATTTTGGAGGATTGTTAAGAAGAGGAACAGAAAATGTTCATACTAAACTTCAAACTGAGTTCGGAAGAGATATTTTTGGTTTTGGGTGTAATGCGCATATTATACATAATGGCGCTAAAACTGCTTTTGATTATTTGCCTGTAGATATTGAAGTTATGGTATCTAAACTTTTTAGTTATTTTAAAATTTACACAGTCCGAATTGAAAGAATTTTGACCAAGAATATCATCAAATTTTAGGACACATTCATGTTAGGTGGTTGACATTACTTGTAGAAAGAATTATTAAAATTTATTCATCTCTTAAAGAATTTATGTTGTCTGAAAAAAAGTGCCCAAAAATCTTGAAGAATTATTTTGAGAGTGAAACAACCGAGTTATGGTTGTTTTTTGCGCATTCGCATGCTGCAATTTTTAATCAAAGCATCTTGAAAATTAAAAGCGATGACAAATGTGTTATTGAATCTGGAGCGGTTGTCAAGGATTTGATATTTAAATTGAATGCACGAAAGAATGCCAAATTTTTTCCACTTGTTGTAAAACCTGAATTGACTAAATTGATTGCTGAGAATATCATTACTGAATATTCTTATTTAGAAACGCCGAAAGAATTCTATGAAGCTGCGATTTCATATTTAGAAGCTTGGAACGATAACAACGATGATACGTCTGATTTGAAGAGCCTTCTTTTAGATTGTAAGCCTTCACGGTCTGAATTCGAAGAGGCAGTTCTGTCTCTCTCTCTTCAAAATGTGCAATTTTGAATGTTAATTCCGACGATTTATTTGACGAGTTTACTTATCATGAAGGTTATTTGGATTCAAAAGACGATAAATGGTACCAATCCGTACAGATAACAGACAAATGGCGCGAAATAAACAATTATTTTCAAAAAAACAATATACCATTTACAAATATCAAAAGAATTGTTGAGCTTGCAATGTGCTGGCGAAGCAGCAATGCGCCTGTCGAACGAGTATTTTCGCGCATAAATAACTATTGGATTAAAGAAAAATCGCGAATGTATGGGAATACAGTGAAAGCGGTTTTATCTGTACTGATTAATTTTGATTTTTCATGTGACATATTTTCTCAATTACTCGAAAAAAATCCTGAAATTTTAAAGAAGATTCATTCTTCAGAAAAATACGGTGTTTAGAAATTGTATAATTTTAAAAGCAATACTATTGTTTTGTTAACAGATTTTAAAATTGTGTAAAAATGTTATGATCACGATTTTAGCGATATAATTTATATACTAAATTATAAAAAAAATGTAAACGAAAAAAAAAAAAATATTTTTTAAGATAAACGATCAAATTTTTTTAAAAATTTTTTCGGTTTATAAAATTGGGAGGGGGGGGGTAGAGATGAGTGTCCCCGGAATTGCCTGAAAAAATCTGGTCACCCTATGTATAGATAACAAAGAATATGAAGGGGAATCCCCTCCTCCAACAATGAAGCAGTAGATGAAGAGGTAGGGGTGGGGAGTGAATGAAAGCTCATAGCTGATAAGGAAATTCCAGTCATTCTTATCAGCTCTGTACAGTCAACAAAGAACATAAAGGGGAATCCCCTCAGGAGGAGGAATTCTTCTACCACTTTGTTTTTCCTCCTTGTGAAGAAAAAAAACTGGTTCTTTCTTAACCTTGAAGCTTAGGAGGCGGGGACAAGTTCTTTTATCCCCCAACAAAATAAGGATTAGTATCAGCTGGTACAGTCTAGTCTAGAAGCATCTGTTTCAGTGATAAGTTGAAATTTAGCTCGCGTTTTAAGCCTATATTTTTAGTTTTAATTGCTAATATTATGTTATCTAAACGATCGATTACGGGGAAAAATGACGAAAGTTTGCTTTTTAAATTCTTTTATTTATTATTTAAAGAGTATATTTATGTTAAAATTGACGTCGAAGGTCTACACACGCGCGTTTAATCGCGAAATCGGCCTGGCAACTTCGAAAGTTCGATAATTCTATCAATTTAAGTAAGGTATCTAAAATCCGGAAATTTCGGAAATCCGGACCTTCCAAACCCCCCAGCAGTCCGGATTTTCGAGGTTGCACTGTATTTAAAGAAAAAAACATACCAATTCCAGATCACTTTTACAATTTTTGTTAAGAATCATGTAATTTAGGTGCAAAATAGTGCGTAATAGTAGATTGTTTTTTAGACATTGAGTTCAAAGTAAATGCCTCATCTTCCAGGACTGAAATCTTTTGCAAATTTTTTTCCTGGTCTTTGTATGATAGAAAATAGTCTTTCACTATTAGCAAACTTCTCAATGCTGTGTTGAAAGAAGGAACGGGCTGTGCTTCTGTTTCTTCTTGTTCATCTTCATCGGCGGATGAAAAGTCCATAACATCGTCCACGGATGGAGCAGTGGTTCTCTCAGCTTCGCATGTTGCTAAGTTTTCTCGGATGTACTCGTCGAAGTCATAGCTAACTGTTTCATTGTCATTCTCCG